CTGAGAGGAGCCTGCAAACAGCCCCAGAGCGCGTGTGGCTGAGAACGAACATGTCTCTTGCGTTTGAGGAGCCTTTGTTGCTACAGCATTGAAGCGCTCGCTCCTTTGAAGTGCTTTGAAGCCGGGGAGCTTTCTGAAGAACCTCTTCTCTCTGAAGCATGTCGGGCTGTTTGCTGAGACGCCCGGCTGCCTTCAGCAACATCTGCCTGCCAAGGCTTCGAGCACCGGTGCGGCTTCAAAACGTTGCTGGGGAGAAGGGCTCCAGCGGCTCGGGTGTCCGGGTGCGCGAGGGTCGGGGGTAAAGGCATCTCCGTCTCGTTTGCAGAGGACGGTCTCGCAGTACCAGGAGGAAGCAGAGCAGACGAGCTCTGCCCTGCGGAGAGCGGAGAAGAGCGTGGTGGAGAAGGAGGTGGAGGTGGATGAGCTGCAGAGACTCCTGGCAGGGATGGAGAAGGTACCGGCCCTGAAGCCGTGGTGGGGCTGGTGGGTTTAGTGGAGCTGCCTGGTCCCGCTCTGCTGGGGGGAATGGGAAAGCCCGGTGGTGATGAGTTTGGCAGTGCCCAGCGCAGACCCCCCCCAGCAGGTCTTGGACCGGCTGCAGGGTACCCACCTTACAGAGGGTTTGACTTCCCAACCAGGTTTAACCCAAGAGCATCGGGCAAAGCCAGCTGCTGGGAACGGCTGAAAATCGACTGTTGCTGATTTATACGTCTAGAAGATCTGGTCGGTCTGTGCGAACTCTTCCAGGTATCCTGGAAACGAGTGCACCGTCTAGACAGCCGCCCGGTTCTTCCTCTCGTGGGGGCATTAACACAACCTCCAGCCTTGACTTTTTTTTTTTCCAGCTGTGGTCTGCTCATAATAACATTAAAGTCATAAATCTAACAGTGCAGTATGAGCATGAAGTGATCTGGGACTGCCTTCCCTGGCCCGACAGCAGGGAAGGAGATGGGTTGGTGCCTTGCCTGTAACCTAGGGGTAAAGGAGTGGGACGTCTGCTGTCGGTCATCTCTGCGGCTGCTCTTGTCTGTCTCTCTCTCGCATGTAAATTTAATGCTCGTGAAAACAACCCGCAGATTGAGCGGGGAGGCTGAGCTGAGCCTGCCTGGCTCCCTGGGTGTTTGTAGTTCGCTGCTGTGCAGCGGAGGCCAAGGAACATGTGTTGCGACTTGTTTCTGTGCGTGTAACTCGGCCTCTTGCTCTGCCGCAGGAGCACAGGAGTTTGCTGCTGAAGATGAAAGAAGGCGAAGCAGAGCTGGCGAGGCTGAGAAGCGTGGAAGGTGACAAGCTCGCCGAACAAGACCGGTGAGGCTTGGCCTCCGGCTCGGCTGCCAACTCCAGAGCAAGCCCACGCCGCTGGGTCGGGGTGTCAGCTCGCTGGGGCATGACTGCACATTCCTGCGAAGGGCGTGTTTGCTCTGTGGCTTGCAAAACAGCACCCTACTCCCAAGAGCTGACTAATCTCCAAATACCTCCCGCAGTTTTGCTCTGCTCCGAGAGATCCGGAGCTCCGGAGCTGGGCTGCCCAGAGACCTCTAGCGGCCCCGCTGCGGGCTGGGAGCTTGGGGCCTGCCCTGCT